GGGGGCCCACCCCCCTCCCGTACCCTCCCCCCTGCGAGCCGCTGCGCGGCTCGCTTCGAGCCACTTCGTGGCTCGCCTGCTACTTTTTCTTATCAGCCACCTACTCTAAATTTTTTTGAGAAGGCTGTTGGTGGTTACCCAAAAAATATAGGAAGTCCCCATGTAACTTGTTTTTTCGAATCTTTCAAATGCTTCAAGTATGAAATGATAACGAAAGTGCAAAGTGCGCTAAGAATTGGCAGTAAGTGTTAATATCAGAAAGATTTCAGTTTCAGTTTCTTCATCAAGAATATTTTTGTTTTGCCGCCTTAAAATTGCATTAGAAGGTGTAAGATCTTTTTTTTTGCTGTCAGATGTTTTGGGATAGTTTTTCTGGAGGGTTTTTATTTGTGAGTCCTGTACTTGTGAAAGACTTGGGTGTCCCTGTGTGTAGAGGAAGGGCACACACATACCACCACACCACACTGGTGGAGGGAGAGAGAATTCTTCACAGCAGGACAGCTCTTTTCATCTGCACAAAGCCTGCCCCTGGCCCCCAGGCTAAACTTAGCAAGTACAGCCTGCCTGCAACTTACCTTCCTTTGTAAGCCGCTTCAATAGACCCAAAATGGTCGACAAGCTATGTGTATGTGGTCCATCAAGCAAATGTATGAGAAATAGTATTTTGTTTTAGCATCATTGATATCTAAGGCCACACCAATTTAATTTCTTGGTTAACGGATTTTTCTAGAAAAAAAATGAAGCGGGCGGGCGAAATAAAAATAAAAATAAAAATTTGAGACCACCTGCCATACAGCCATGTAGTAAGCAATCCATTAATAAGTTAAGTTACATCTTTACTGTATGAACAACAAACTGTCAGTTGACAAGACTCCCATCCAACTGGTTTCACTTTTATTCATCTTTCAAAGTTCCAAAGAGTGGTTTAAATCAGGGTGCTCTGTTCAGATCCCATTGTTTTCTTACAGTTCAGGGCACACAGCTTACCACTGGGCTGGGCATTCTATTGTGTCTGGCTGATATGGAAGTTATTTAGAGCTTGAAATTTACAATATCCTAAATATATGCTTTAGACAAATTTCCAGGAATGTGTAAAAGTTATTGGCAAAAGAATTAACTACTTTTAC